AAAGCATTGGGGTTATTTTAAGCTCTACAGCGGCCGAGAATACATTCTGTGGCCGCGCACGTAGAATCGGTGAAGGTTCTAGCGTTGGGTGTAGAACCAGAGATCATTATTAAAAATCCGGTCCTAAGTTGAGTGAAGAGAGACTCATCTACACTGCCACTAGCGTAGTAGGTTTGGCATTTATCTCTCTAGCTTTGGCCTTCACTTCTTGGAACGAGTGTAGTGATTGTGTAAGGATGCTCTATCTTGGTAATATGATGAACGAAGTGCAGTGACCAGGGTAGACTCATCACTCGGCATGAGAAACGTCAGTTCTGCCACTGGATTCGTGTTCACTGACCGCCTCTTGACTAAAAGGTGCATTTAAGCAAGCAGAATTTTAAGTTATTTTCAAATCCCATTAATCAATTTTTAATCAGGGTCTTAATCGTTGCTGAGGGCATTTCGAAGAAGCTGTGTCTGTTTAGTGTTTTCTAGCTCAAATACGAGGCCTTAATATCTCTTTTGTGCAGCATCATTGTGTGCAAATTTGCATATATAGGCAGATTATTTTCAAAGACACGATCTTATTCACTTATATTTTGTATACTGCTGCATCTTGATATAGGGGCCAAATTATTTTTGACTCGCTTCGCCAATCTAACGTCTAAGTTGTAAGCTATCAGAATTTCAATAGGCTTGTTTTTCAGAGCACTTAAGTAAACATTTATGGCAGCAGAATTTTTCCCTTTATCAGTAGCAATAATTTTTGGTAAACACCATTCTATTTTATTTAAATCAAAGTCCATTAAGCCTAGATAACTTCACTTTAGTGTAGTATTAACGGAGGAACAACCAAGCATGAAGAGGTTTTGGGTGTCTACTCATTAACCTAACACGCCTACTGATATGTTTAAAAGCATTTGTTCAAATTCTAAAGTCCGTTCATCAAAAAGAGTTTAGGGACCACATTTTTGTAACAGTCTAGTTATCCTATGAAATTGACCCATGGTTAAAATTATTTATTCAAATTCGGCCGCTTTTACTTTTAAAGAAAAGACGAAAGGTTGCTGGTCCTCCAGGTGTTGAAGTTAACAAACATAGTTTGTCTCAAGCTGTTGATGACAACATGCTCCTAGCTGCTGGACAACTAGGGCAAAAAGCCGTGCGTTGGTTTTGTTACATCATTGTTAATTACACCACTAGGAGTGAAGAGAGACTCATCTACACTGCCACTAGCGTAGTAGGTTTGGCATTTATCTCTCTAGCTTTGGCCTTCACTTCTTGGAACGAGTGTAGTGATTGTGTAAGGATGCTCTATCTTGGTAATATGATGAACGAAGTGCAGTGACCAGGGTAGACTCATCACTCGGCATGAGAAACGTCAGTTCTGCCACTGGATTCGTGTTCACTGACCGCCTCTTGACTAAAAGGTGCATTTAAGCAAGCAGAATTTTAAGTTATTTTCAAATCCCATTAATCAATTTTTAATCAGGGTCTTAATCGTTGCTGAGGGCATTTCGAAGAAGCTGTGTCTGTTTAGTGTTTTCTAGCTCAAATACGAGGCCTTAATATCTCTTTTGTGCAGCATCATTGTGTGCAAATTTGCATATATAGGCAGATTATTTTCAAAGACACGATCTTATTCACTTATATTTTGTATACTGCTGCATCTTGATATAGGGGCCAAATTATTTTTGACTCGCTTCGCCAATCTAACGTCTAAGTTGTAAGCTATCAGAATTTCAATAGGCTTGTTTTTCAGAGCACTTAAGTAAACATTTATGGCAGCAGAATTTTTCCCTTTATCAGTAGCAATAATTTTTGGTAAACACCATTCTATTTTATTTAAATCAAAGTCCATTAAGCCTAGATAACTTCACTTTAGTGTAGTATTAACGGAGGAACAACCAAGCATGAAGAGGTTTTGGGTGTCTACTCATTAACCTAACACGCCTACTGATATGTTTAAAAGCATTTGTTCAAATTCTAAAGTCCGTTCATCAAAAAGAGTTTAGGGACCACATTTTTGTAACAGTCTAGTTATCCTATGAAATTGACCCATGGTTAAAATTATTTATTCAAATTCGGCCGCTTTTACTTTTAAAGAAAAGACGAAAGGTTGCTGGTCCTCCAGGTGTTGAAGTTAACAAACATAGTTTGTCTCAAGCTGTTGATGACAACATGCTCCTAGCTGCTGGACAACTAGGGCAAAAAGCCGTGCGTTGGTTTTGTTACATCATTGTTAATTACACCACTAG